CGGTTTTGGCTCATTGTGTTATCTTTATCTGGTTTTGGTAATAGGGTAATGCTGGCTTTATAAAAGGAGTTTGGAAGTGCTCCTTTCTCTTGAATTTTTTGAAATAATCTGATTATAGGTTTTAGTTCTTCCTTGAATGTTTGGTAAAACTTTCCTGTGAAGCCATCTGTTCCTGGGCTTTTGTTTGCTGGGAGCTTTTTGATGACTGTTTTAATTTATTCCAAAGTCACTGGTCTATTGAGATTTTTAGATTCTTCCTGATTGAGTTTTGGAAGGTTATATTTTTCTAGGAATATGTCCATTTCCTCCAGATTGTCCAGTTTGTTGGAATAGAGTTGTTCATAGTATTTTGTAACAATCTTTTGTATTTCAGCGGGGTCTGTTATTTCACCTCTTTTATTTCTGATTTTGTTTATTTGGGTCCTCTCCCTTTGTTTCTTGGTTAGCTCGCTAGAGGCTCATCAATCTTGTTTATCCTTTCAAAGAACCAGCTCTTGGTTTTGTTGATCTTATGTATTGTTTCTTTGGTCTCTATGTCGTTTATCTCCGCTCTAATTTTTATTATTTCCTTCCTTCTGCTTACACTGGGTTTTCTTCTTGCTCTTTTTCTAATTCTTTCAGTTGTAGAGTTAGATAATTTGTTACCATTTTTTCTTGTTTTTTGCAATAAGCTTGTAGGGATGTGAACTTCCCTCTCAAAACTGCTTTTGCTGTTGTTGTGTTTTGGATGGTTGTGTTTTCATTGTCATTTGTTGCCAGGATGTTTTTAATTTCTTTCTTGATTTCTCAGTCCTTGTTTAATAGCATGTTATTTAGTCTCCATGTGTTTGATTTCTTTGGATTATTTTTATTGTAGTTGATTTCCAATTTTATGCCACTATGATCTGAGAAGAAGCTTGATATGATTTCTATCTTCTTGAATTTGAGGAGACTTTGCCTATGTCCCAATATGTGGTCTATCTTTGAAAATGACCCATGTGCACTTGAGAAGAATGGGGTGAAATTTTCTGAAGATGCTGATTAATTCCATATGATCTAGTGCGTCATTTGGGATTGATGTTTCATTGCTGATTTTTGTTCCAATGATTTGTCCAAAGTTGGTAGTGGGGGATTAAAATCTCTTACTATGATTGTATTGCTATTAATCTCTCCCTTAATGTCCTCCAGCAGTTTTTTTTAGTTTTGTTTTGTTTTTTTATGTATTTGGATGCTCCTGTATTGGGTGCATATATGTTTACCAGGGTTATTTCTTCTTCTTGGATTGTTCCATTTAGTATTATGAAGTGGCCTTCCTTGTCTCTTATAATGTCCTTCACTTTGAGAACTAATTTGTCAGATATAAGTATTGCTACCCCAGCCTTTTGTTCATTTCCATTCGCCTGGAATAACTTTTTCCATACCTTCACCCTCAGTCTGTGTGCATCTTTTTTTTTTTTTTTATGAAATGGGTTTCCTGTAGACAGTATGTATGTGGGTCTTGTTTTCTTATCCAATCTGTTACTCTATGTCTTTTGATTGGGACATTTAATCCATTTACATCTAAAGTTATTGATAGGTGCTTATTTGTCGCCATTTTTATTCTATATCCATGTGTTCCTTCTTTGCTTCCTATTTCTTTATTTTTACAATAGACCATTTAGCATTTCTTGCATTGCTGGTTTGGTGGTGATAAATTCCCTTAGTCTTTTTTGTCTGTGAAGCTCCTGATTTCACCTTCAATTTTGATTGATAGTCTTGCTAGGTGCAGTATTGTTGGATTCAATCCCTTCCTTTGAATGACTTTGTATATTTCATTCCATTCCCTTCTGGCCTGATGAGTTTCTGTTGAGAAATCAGTTGCTAGGATGATGGGGTTTCCTTTATATGTAACTTTCTGTCTCTCTCTGGCTGCTTTTAAGATTATTACTTTGTCATTGGTGTTTGCCAATTTAATTATAATGTGTCTTGGCATCCATCTTTTGGGGTTTATTTTGCTTGGTACTCTGAGAGCTTCTTGGATTTGTGTGGGTTTTTTCTTCTCTATCTCAGGAAAGTTTTCTGTCATTTTTTCTTGAAACACGTTTTCTATGCCTTCCTCAGTTTCCTTTCCTTCTGGAACCCCTTTTATTCTAATATTGTTTTGTTTTGTACTGTCCCAAAGTTCCTTTAGGCTCTCCTCCTGCTTTTTAATTTTTTTCCCCAGAAGTTGCTCTAATCGGGTATTTTTTTCCATGTTGTCTTCTAGCTCATTGATGCAGTCAGTCCTCTGCTTCTTCTAGTCTACTCTTGATGCTGTCTATTGAGTTCTTTACAGTAGTGATGTCATTTTTCATTTCTTCTTAGTGTGATGGTAAATGTGATTGCTTTTATAGTCTCAATTTCTGTAAATTCATTATTGGTGTATAGAAATGCCATAGATTTCCTGGCATTTATTTTGTATCCTGCTACATTGTCAAAATCCTTTATTAAGTCTATTAGTTTTTTAATGGAGTCTTTTTTTTATGTACAATATCATGTCATCTGCAAATAAGGATAACTTTACTTCTTCTTTTCCAATTTGGATGCCTTTTATTTCCTCTTTTTGTCTAATTGCAATGGCTAGAACTTCCAGTACTATGTCAAACAGGAGTGGTGAGAGTGGGAACCCCTGTCTTTTTCCTGTTCTTAGAGGGAATGGTTTTAGTTTTTGCCCATTGAGTATGATGTTGGCTGTGGGTTTATCATATATAGCTTTTATTATGTTGAGGTATGATCCTTGTACTGTTGAGAGTTTTTATCAGGAAAGGGTGTTGGATTTTATGAAATGCTTTTTCTACATCAATTGATATGACTATATAATTTTTATCTTTCAATTTGTTTATGTGATGTATCACGTTTATTGATTTGCGAATATTGCACCATCCTTGAATTCATGGGATAAATCCTACTTGGTTATAGTGTACGATCTTTCTGATGAAATGCTGAATTCTTTTTGCTAGAATTTTGTTGAGGATTTTGGTATCTATGTTCATGATGCATATTGGCCTGTAATTCTCTTTCATTGAGTTGTCTTTATCTGGTTTTGGTATTAGGGTGATGCTGGCTTCATAAAAGGAGTTTGGAAGTGTTCCTTCCTCTTGAATTTTCTGGAATAGTCTGAGGATGACAGGTTTTAGTTCTTCCTTGAATGTTTAGTAAAACTCCCCTGTGAAGCCATCTGGCCCAGGCTTTTGTTTGCTGGAAGCTTTTTGATGACTGCTTCAATTTCATCCATAGTTATCTACCTATTGAGATTTTTAGTATCTTCTTGAGTAAGTTTTGGAAGGTTGTATTTTTCTAGGAATGTGTCCATTTCCTCCAGGTTGTCTAGTTTGTTAGAATAAAGTTATTCATAGTATTTTTTAATAATCCTTTGTATTTCTGTGGAGTCTGTTATTATTTCACCTCTTTTATTTTTTATTTTGTTTATTTGGGTCCTCTCTGCTTTTTGGTGAAACTAGATAGAGGTTCATCCATCTTGTTTATCCTTTCAAAGAACCAGCTCTTGGTTTTCTTGATCTTTCGTATTTTTTTTTGGGGGGGGGGGGGAGGGGCGTGTCTCTATGTCATTCATTTCTGCTCACTGTGGGCTTTTCTTAACCCTTTTTCTTGTTTTCTGAGGTAGGCCTGTAGAGTTATAAATTTTCCTCTCAGGACTGCTTTCATTGTGTCCCATAGTATTTGTATTGTTGTGTTTTTACTGTCATTAGTCTCCAGGAATTTAAAAATTTCTTCTTTGATCTCATTGTTAACCCAATGATTGTTTAATAGCATGCTATTCAGCTTCAAAGTGTTTGAATTTTTGGAGTGTTTTTATTATATTTTATTTCTAATATTATGCCATTGTGATCTGAGAAAATGCTTGATATGATTTCAATCTTTTTGAATTTGGGGAGACTTTGTGACCCAATATGTGATCTATTTTTAAAATGTCCCATGTGCACTTGAGAAGAATGTATATTCCATGGTGTTGGGCTGAAATGCTCTGAATATGTCAATTAAGTCCATCTGATCTAGTGAGTCATTTAGAATTGCTGTTTCTTTGCTGATTTTTTGTGTAGTTGATATACCCAGTGATGTCAGTGGTGTATTAAAGTCTCCTAGTATGATTGTATTGTTGTCGATTTCTCCCTTGATATATTCAAGGAGTTTTTTTTTTATGTATTTAGGTGCTCCTGCATTTGATGCATATATGTTTATCAGGGACATATCTTCTTGTTGCGTCCATCCCTTTATTATTACGATGTGGCCTTCTTTATCTTTTATTATGGCCTTTACTTTGAGGTCTATTTTGTCAGAAATAAGTACTGCTACCTCAGCTTTTTTTTTCATTTCCATTTGCCTGATGTTTTTCCATCCCTTCACTTTCAACTTTTTGTGAGTCTCTTGTAGACAGCATACAATATATGGGTCATGTTTTTTTATCCATTCAGCCACTCGATGTCTTTTGAGTGGAGCATTTAGTCCGAGTACATTTAAGGTTATTATTGAAAGGTACTTGTTTGTAGCCATTTTTATTTTTTGAGACTGTGTTCCTTCTTACCTTTTCTTTTTACACCAGTCCCTTTAGCATTTCTTGCATTGCTGGCTTGGTAGTGATAAACTCCTTTAGCATTTTTTTTGTCTGTGAAGCTCCTTATTTGCCCTTCAATTTTGAATGATAACCTTGCTGGGTAGAGTATTCTTGGATTTAGTCCTTTGGTTTGCATCACTTTGTAGATTTCTTTCCATTTTTTTATGGCTTGATGTATTTCTGTTGAAAACTCATTTGATAATCTAATGGGGGTTCTCTTATATGTAACTTTCTGTCTTCTCATGAAGCCTTTAAGATTCTCTCTTTGTCCTGAATATTTGCCATAGTAATTATGATATGTCTCGGTGTGGGTCTATTGGGGTTTATCCTGTTTGAGACTCTCCGAGCTTGTATGACTTTTTTCTTTACTATATCAGGGAAGTTGTCTGACATTATTTCTTCAAATATTTCTTCTAACCCTTGTTATTACTGTTGTTCTGGAACCCCTATTATTCTTACGTTGCTTCGTTTCATGATGTCCCATAGCTCCCTTAGGCTTTCCTCTTGTCTTTTAATTTTTTTCTCCAATTGCAATTCAGTTTGGCTGTGTTTTGCTTCCCTGTCTTCTAGATCACTAATTCGGTCCTCTGCTTCTCCTAGTCTACTGTTGAAGCTTTCCATGGTGTTTTTTATTGCAGCTATATCACTTTTCATTTCTTCTTGATTCTTACATAAGTTGTTGATTTTTTTCATCCATTTCTTCTTGACTCTTGCATAATGTGTTAATTTCTTCTTCCATCTGATTTATGAACTCTATGACCCTTATTCTGAATTCTTTTTCTGACATATTTTATCCCTCTGTTTCACTTAGCTGCTTTTCTGGCGTTTCCTCCTTTTCTTTCCTTTGTTTACCCATTTTTGGTCTCACTGAATGATCTAGATGTTGAGTTGTGCAGGGGCTATTCCTCAGGTGGCAGTAGTTTATCTGTCTGCAGCTGCCCTATGGTAGCAGCTGCTTCTCAGTTGACAGCATTTCCTCTGGTTGGTGCTGTTTGCAGGAGTGGTGCCTCCTCTGGCTGGTGGGGGAGGCTGCTCATATAGCTTCTGTTCGTTGGATGGGGTTGGGCTGATTATGAGGTTGCTGATGAACCTGCTGCTCCCTCAGCTGCTGCTCCTTTGACAGGGGCAGGCCACATGAAGCTGCTGTTCTTAGGCCTGTGGCAGGTTCCTCAGGGGTCTGCTGTTCCTTGGACAGGAGCAGGCTGCTCACATGTCTGCTGTTCACATGGTTGCAGTGCCCCGGGCTAAAGTGTTGGGCTGGTCAGAGGGCAACCTGTTTCTGAACTCACAGGAGCCTATGCCCTGGGCAGCTGGAGCCTCTTTGACCATGGGATCGCAGCCTAGGTAGCGTGCCCCTGGCAAAGGTGACTGTAGAGTCCCAGGTGTTATCTGAGGGTACTCTGATTGGAGTTGAGGTTGGGAACCCAGTTACAGCAGCTCTCCCCTTCAAAAAGGCTAGGCCCCTTAGGACAAGCTGGCCGCCTGGTACTGTTTGCGATGGTGGCAGAAGTTGCCTAGTTAGGCAAGCCTGATTAGCCTGCCCTGAAGGTCCTGTGGGATTTAACTGTGCTTCACTCACTCACTTACACACATATATCCCACCTGACCACAAGCTCTTCTTTTACTTTCTCACTCACTTATGCTCTTTCCCTCACTGCCACATTCTTCTTGCCTCTGTAGTTGGTTCTGGGGTGTTGTTGACCCTTTTTGTGGATGAAGTTTCCTCTCCAGGTGTCTGGTTATGTGGCTTGCTCTCAAGCCCATTGTCCTGACCGGATAAAATTCTCCTCAACAAGACTCAACGCCACGGGAACTAAGCACAGATGTACTCACGACTCCAAAAACCCCAGTATAAGTGACCCCCTGAGAAAAGAGATATAGGACAAAGAAAAGAGAGCACAAATGCTGTGGAAGAAAGAGAAAAAGATATGGGATAAAAGACAAAAGAATAAGAGGATTGGAGCAGAATCTGTAGAGGCTAAGCTTATATAGTGAAAATAAGATTGAGAATTGGATGAATATGGGGAGGACCTCAATTTAGTATTATGGAAGTAGAAAGGGAATAAGTGGATGAAAGGAAAGAGAATGAGAATAAAAAATAATAAATTTTACAAAAAGAAATTGATTTCAAAAATGGTATAAAAATAAAAATAGCAAATAAAAAATAGTGATGAGAAATAATGCGAACAGAAATAAAAGAAAAGCAACAAACAAGAACAGGAAAACAAAGAAAAGATAAGAGAAGAGAAAGAAAGCAATAAAGAAAGAAAGAAGAGAAAGGAAGGAAGGAAGGAAGGAAAGGGAAGGGAAGGAAGGAAGGAAAGGAAGGAAGGAAGGAAGGAAGGAAGGAAGGAAAGAAAGAAAGAAAGAAAAAAGAAAGAAAGAAAAGAAAGAAAGAAAGAAAGAAAGAAAGAAAGAAAGAAAGAAAGAAAGAAAGAAAGAAAGAAAGAGAAAAAGAAAGAAAGAGAAAAAGAAAGAAAGAGAAAAAGAAAGAAAGAAAGCGAAAATAAAAATAAAAGTGAAAAAAAAGTAGCGTGTCTTCCTTTGGCTGGCTTATGATTCCATTTGTCTGTACTGTTCTGTTTGTCAGTTTCCTGGTTGCTGCGGCTAAAGATTAGTCCTTAGGCCCTTCCTATATCCTCAGGGAATATTCAGATTCCTTGTTTTACTCAAGGTGTGATCTGGGTGTGGCTGAATTAGTTGCCTAGAGACTTGAGGGCGGGGCTATCTCTCGAGAAAATGGCGACTGGGTTTAGCTGACTCAGCAACAGACCTGCCAACATCTCCCCTAGATCACCATCCACTCTTCCTTGATTCCACAAGCCCACACCTTCTCCTGCACCTCAGCCACAGGTAAGTATCTGTATCCAAACGGTCCCATGAACCAGGTTCGGTGGGAGGAGGCACAGGACCCAGTACAAGGAGGGACTGTGTCCCTGAGAGGTTCTCTCTTGCAGGCACTGCGCAATCCAGCCAGCCTTTCAGAGTTGTCTCCCACTTAGATCCTTGATTTTACCTTATTTCTGGGGACTTCTGCCCTTCCTGGGTGCAAACTATCTCACCAGCTGTGCATCCTCACCAAATTCGGGCTGAATTCCACTCCTTTCAGCTGCTCCCTCCACTGCTCCAGGACAAGGCTCAGGACACATCCATCTATTCCGTCGCCATCTTCCCTCCTCCTGTTTTACAATTTTGCAAATATTTTTTAATGCCTAGCTTAAAGAAGATGTTGGATTTTCATATCTGCTTGTACATTCAATTCATTGACATGTTGTTTTTGCTGCTGTATGTGAAGAAAATCTTTCTTTATATAGCTATACCATGTAGCTGGCAAGCACAAAGTTAATGTCATCTTCAGATTGTGAGTTGTTTTCTGTAATAGTACACCAGACTAGAAAAGTGATAGCTTAAAGTTGTTTCAGTATGAAATCTGAAACCATATCAATGAACTTATCATGTTTTTACGTTCATGATAGAGTAAGAAAAAGCTAATTACATCTTAGTGTTATTGTGAAAATAGATTTGATATCACAAACCCCCTGAAATAATCTAAAGGATTATACTTTGAGAAATGCTATTCTAAACAAATGAAATATGTGTCATTTTTTTCACTTTTAAATAATGTTAGATATATAGAAGAATTGTAAAGAATTGTTAGATATACTGAATTGTATAGAGTTCCCCTATAATCTTCACCCAGCCTCCCCTAAGTTAACTTTTTAAAAATGTAGTACCATTTCAACCATTTTAAGTGTATATACAGTGGCACTAAGTACATTCACAATGTTGTGTAGCCAACCATCCATCTCCAGAATGTTCTCATCCTCTGAAACTGAAACTCTCTACCCATTATGTATAATTCTGACTTATTCTTTAAACCCATATTATTTAAGGCATTTGTCAATAGTATTTACATGTCTAAGTAGTAATCTGTTGATTTCTGATTTGTTGCTTTGAAGAATGTGAACTGTACAATTTCAGTAGTTGGGTGAGCAAGAAAAGAAGGGAATTTTTCCTTCCTCTCTCACTGATTGAGTCAGATCCATGAGGTTTATACCAAACACAAAAAGTAACAGCTGTTTATCCCTTCACATAAGAGTGCCTTTGTCTTGAGATGGCTATAGCAATCTTTCTTCATCAGTTCCTGCCTCTCTGTGTAAACCATGGAAGCAGAACATATTGAGGATGGAGTAATGACATGGCCTTTTACTCACACACACCATGTTGTTAAACTTGGGTTGTAAGGGCAGAGCAAGGAAGAATCCCTGAACCCATGCTTGCTAGAAAGTGAAAGAGGTGGTGTTCCTGGTGAGGGTGGTGGTGGTGATGGTGGTGGTGGTGGTGGTGGTGGTTGTGATTGTGATGGTGGTAGTGAAGGTTTCCACTGATTCAGTCTCTGGAGGGAAAAGAGACAGTAGGGTCAAGACAAGATTTCCAGCACTGTTATACTAGATTTTTTTTCTGTAAGAAGCCAGAAAATAAATATTCTAAGCTTGTGAGCCATATGGTCTCTGCCACCACTACTCAACTCTGCTGTTGAAATGTGAAAGCAGTAACTTGTTTCCAATAAAACATTATTTGTAAAAACATATGGCAGGCCAAATTTGTCCCGCAGGTTATAGTTTCCAGCCTATACTAAATGAATGTCTGATAGATCTAAAAATGGGCTAAAATTCTGACTATCACATTCTTCACTAGAGTCTTGAAGGATATTTCTTAAAGGAGAATTCTACCCGCATACAGATGAACAGTAACCAGGGAAAAATAATCACTTACTCTACCTATTAACAGGTACCAGAGCTGGGCTCATTTCTCATCCAAACATTTATTGTAGTTGAGAAAAGTTTCATAGTCAATTCTGAGCACAAAGCTAGAAAATAGCTAGAAACCACTAGGGAATAAAAATTAAGCTACCAATTTCTTATGAGGTATTCATTTTTTCAATTGCTTGTTCTTTAGAACTATTTAGTTCACCCATTAATGTAGTTATGTTCTGTTTTAAGTAAGAGTTTTATTTTATATGCTAATTGTCTTTAAATTTTCAAAGTTGTAGTTCTTGGCTGTTTGAACCAGGAGGACATAACAAGGCATCGTTGCTTCCTCCTAGTAGTACTTTCCCTTTTTAGGAAATGCTGTCAGGGAAAATGAACCACCTCTTAAAGGGCTGAGCTCATACCAACATCTATAATTCATCTATATCGACCATTAATCAGCCAAAAATATTTCTATGCTTATATATAAATTATGCCCAATCATTCATTCATTCACTTATTCATTCTGCAGACATTTATTGAGAGCTTGCTATGAGGAAAGTCTGTTCTAGGCTGCAGTTATGACTTCAGCTATAGCTCCTTTTAAATATTTTGTTCACATGTTCATATGTATTCTTTGAAGTAATTTCTTCCACCTTCCCTTTTAATAATGAAAAATCCTTGAGTGCAGATCTGTACTTTTCCCTTTCTTCCTGATCCTCCACACTTCTGGATGTTCTGTGGCCATGGCACACTGAGAAAGCACATTTTGATTTACTGGTGGGAAGCCCTGATAATCTAGTCTGTGTCTTTTTTTTATTTTTTTTTTATTGATTTTTCACAGAGAGGAAGG